ATAGCCGAACTAGGCCGCCAGCAGCATGATGCCATTGAAAGAATTGGCCGCTTAAAGTTTGAAGCTGAAGGTGATAGAAGCAGGGCCGAGTTCGAGGCGATGAGAGCCGCAATGGAAAGTGCTCGAGCTGAAGCTAAAAAGGAGAGGGCTCAGACTGCTGACCAGCTTAGATCCGAAGCCGAGGATAGGGCAAACGTGAGCGAGGAGTCGCTCAAGTTAGCCCAGGAGGCGCCTTCAAAGGCAGAGGCTGAGTTAGAAGAATTGAAGGCGGCCAAGGAAAAAGCCGAATCTGTAGCTTCTACAACGCTAGAAGCTGGGAAGAGCGCTGCCTTGAAGGAATACATAGATGAGGTCTCCAAATTCGAGAATCAGGGATTCAAACATGGGTGGCTCAAAGCCCTTGCTGCCGCTGGAGTTACATTGGCCTTGCCAATTCCATACGAGCAAGTGGACGTTAAGCCACTTGAGTCTGATCCCGAGGATTGATCTGGGAGATATTCTAGTTTTATTAGGTATCTTTAATTTCAATGTACGTTTTTGTTTAGTGGATCCTTGTTAGTTCAAGGTAATTTTCATGTATAAATTAGTTACTATTTGTGCTCATTTTATTAATGAAAATTTCCTTCCTGTTTCATTATTACTTGTACGCAGTTTTTTATATTAATGACGAGTTTTGCCTTCCGCTACTTTGGATAAAATGATTACTGTCTGTTCTGCCTTCTAACTAGCGATTGGATAACAGTGTAATCTTGGCAATTATATTAGTTATACTTTAATTTATCCGAACAAATCGACTCTTGGTCCCGAATAGGACTAGTAAATCGATTCATAAAGCGGCTGCGGCACTCAAGCCGAATAGATTGATGAATTTGCCCTTGCCCCAGCTAGTTCATGAACATTAAACGTCGAACCACACAATATTGATGAGTCAATTCATGAAGTGGTTGCCGCATTAGAGCCGAATAGATTGATGAATCTGCCCTTGCCCCAGCTGGTTCATGAACATTAAACGCCGAACCACACAATATTGATGCGTCGATTCATGAAGCGGCTACGGCATTAGAGCCGAATAGATTGATGAATCTGCCCTTGCCCCAGCTGGTTCATGAACATTAAATGCCGAACCACACAGTACAATATTGATGAGTCAATTCTTGAAGCGGTTGCGGCATTAGAGCCGAATAGATTGATGAATCTGCCCTTGTCCCAGCTGGTTCATGAACATTAAACGCCGAACCACATAATATTGATGAGTCGATTCATGAAGTGGCTGTAGCACTAGAGCCGAATATATTGATGAGTCGGCTATACCCCAGCTGGTTCACGAATTTACCCTAGCGAAAGTTAAGACTGCCGAATAACAGTGTTTGATAGGGGCTTGGCACGACTCGGTCGGCGCCCCAATGATTGATGAGATTGCCTTGGGGGTGCTGCCCTCGCAGGGAATAAATGAATGAAGGTCCTATTTATGTGCTCAGTGAGCAACTCAGTCCAGGTCTTTGATGAAGAATAAACAAGCGCGAATGTCGAATAGATTATTCTTTAACAGTAAAGGGGAAGCGAGGACGCTAGCTGAGCTGGGAGGAGACATGAATCGAAGTGGCGAACCTTCGCGCGCGGGAGGTAGGGTTTCAAGGGAACGGGAGAGACGTCAATCTCTTCGTTGTCGAAGTAGGTCGCCTAGGAGGGATAAGGAGTCACAGGACAAATCCCCGCAACCCCATTCTGGAAGGGAGCCCGATGCGAACCCATGCCCATTGAGTTTTGCAGTTTTCGTGGGGAATAGGCCCATGACAGATGCGAACTCGATCATTCGAGATTCAAATGTGGCAGTCAAATTTGCTTGACAGATTTTTCCTCCCGAGGTCCAGCAGTCGATGTTAGGTCGGCAGGACTTCGAAGTGTTTTGTGAAGGCATTCATGATGCAGTGAAGGGGCTCTATATCGCCTACGAAATTGGCATGCGTCTCCGTGCTTCCCGCCGAGAAATAGAGAAGAGGGACGAATGCATCCGAAGCTTGGAGGCTCACCTGGAAGTGGCTGAGCGTGAGCTAAGGAAGGCCAAGGTCATTTGGGCATAACCCGTCGGACAGGCTAATCCAATCGTGGAAGAAAGGGTCACCCAGCGGCTTATCAATATCGCGCTCGTCAATCGAGATACGGTGAGCATGTTCGCGATGGAATCCGCGAAGGGGAGGGCCTATGAAAAAGGCTTCCACGAAGGCCGGAAAGTAGGGATACAGAAGACCAAGGAAAAGCTCGCTGAGGAAGTTTGCCGATGCGAAAATCATGGATTTAAGCATGGTTGGATCAAGGCGCTTCAAGCCGAGGAAGCCCTCCGAGCAGCGGGCATTGATTTGGCATTGCCACTGTACCAACGTAACCATTTTCCATTTTTCGCCTTTGAAGTTGAGCAGAGTGAGGATGAGGGCGACGTCGTATAAAAAATACTCAACTTAACGTTCGAACGCAGATCGCGTTCATAACTATGTAATTATTTCCTGATTGAATAAAACATTCTATTTTAAATGTTTCATTATAATTTTCATTCGGCACACATGTGTTTGCATGTTTCATTGCATAAATATCAACCGGCTCGAGTCAACTAGGCATTTTAATTCCGAATGGTTATATGCCGGCTCGTCATGAGCATTCTCCACTGAATATATATTTGGCATGTCACGCAAGGTCAATTGCACCGATGAGTTTCTGAATTCGGAGGCTTAACCAGCCCAAAGTTGTTATGCACCAGGGGCTCCGAATCCGAAGACAGTCAGTCCATTTATAATTGCTTGTTTATATAATTAGGCCATTTTAACTCTAAAAAAGCCAAAAATTAGTACATGGAGTAGTTGTGGCCAATATCGCTCGGCATCCGTCTTTTGGAGTTCAGTGTTAATGAAATCGCCTTGGGGCCACTACAAGGGTTTTAGAAATAAATCACCTCGGACTTTTCGCTCCAGTGACTTCGCTTACTGTGTACAGACTCGATTTAAAACGATTTTGTTGTGTGGGGTTAGATAAGTGTGAATGTCGAATGGAGTTTTCTTCAGTAATAGAGGAGAAGCTCGGACTCTGGCTGAGCTTGACATTGCAATGAATCGCAGCAGAGAACCCACTCGCACGGGAGGTAGGGCATTAAAAAAAAATGGGAAAAACGTCAGCCTTTAAGTCGTCAAAGCAGATCACCCCGAAGGGAGAAACAGCAATAGGGAAGTTCTCCACAACTGCGACCTAGAAACGAGGCCGACATAGCTCCGCGACCGTTGAGTATTACTATTTTCATGGGGAATTCCTTTCTTGTCCTGGATCTTGGCCTTGACGTTGTCTATGGTGCCAAAGGTCCCTGCCTCGAGGATGATTATCTCGTCGGTGTGAACGCGGATTCAGGCGAGGTCAGATTAAAGCATTTCAAGTTGTGAGTGCTCTTTGATCAGGGGGCGTTGATTCGGCGCTGCCACTGTGCCAACGCGACGCCGTATGAGAATAGATATTGTAATGCTTCGAATGCGGATTGTGTTTTTTGTAATTATTGTTTAATCGAATAAAATGTTTTATTTTAAAAGTTTATCTCATTCTGAATTTTTGTGTACTTAATTAAACATTTTATTTTGAATGCTGCAATGTTTTGTCTTGTTCATACGGTTGTATTGGCTCAACCTTCATATCCCTGCCTCGATGTGTAAATGTTTTCATTCTGGAGGGTGCTTCGAATTCAGAATATTATTCAGCCCTCGAGCGTCGCTCGGTGGCACTATTTGGTCAGCCGAATTTGGAGGCTTTATCGGCCTGAAGACATGTTGATGGGGCCCCGAATCTGGAGTCTTTATCGGCCCAAAGACGTCATGCGCCGATGAGGCTCCGAATCCGGAGGCTTTATTGGGCCAATCGTGATATCCACGAAGGGCGCTCCGAATCCAGAGGTTTTATCAGCCCAAAGACGTCATTCACCGATGGGGCTCCGAATCCGGAGGCTTTATTGCGCCAATCGTGACATCCACGAAGGGTGCTCCGAATCTGGAGGCTTTATCGGCCCAAAGACGTCATTCGCCGATGGGGCTCCGAATCCGGAGGCTTTATTGGCCCAAAGACGTCATTCGCCGATGGGGCTCCGAATCCAGAGGCTTCATTGGCCCAAAGATGTCATTCGCCGATGGGGCTCTGAATCTGGAGGCTTTATTGGCCTAAAGACGTCATTCACCAATGGGGTTCTGAATTCGGAGGCTTTATTAGGCCAATCGTGACATCCACGAAGGGCGCTCCGAATCCAGAGGCGTTATTGGCCCAAAGACGTCATTCTCCGATGGGGCTCCGAATCCAGAGGCTTTATTCGGCCAATCGTGACATCCACGAAGGGCACTCCGAATCCGGAGGCTTTATTTGGAACATTTTTGAACTGGATTGCACAGTGAGTAAGGAGGAATCTTTGCATTACAGTAGTGGAAAGTGTACATGGTGAGCTATTTGGAACCAATATCATTCCCCACAGGTCGGGTTTAATGATAGAATTTGCGCAAGTGCGTCAGGAGTAATGCCGTGTACCTAGTTTTCCATCAACTGGCCTCCCATCATCCGGAAATACCTTCAGGAGCAACATTCCTGACATGTAGCGGCACAACTGAACGCATTGAGCATACGTCTCGGGAAGCTGTTGCTGGTATCGCCTAGAGCTTCCGTGGCTTTTCGCCAGGGAGCCATCCGACATTGTTGAGACTGTCTCGATACGGCACTTTAGTGGAGTTGACCTGTGACTCCATTGGTGTCTTTCCAGAAAGGAGATAGCACGCTCGTGGGGATTGCAGGGAACCACGGATTTGATTAATGCCGTGTTCGGTCGGGAAGCATAGTAGCTGATGATAGGTGCTTGGCACGGCCTGAATAGTATGCAACCAAGTTCGCCCCATGATGAGGTTATACGGCGAAGGGAGCTTGATGACCAAGAATTCGACATCCACTGTTTGGGAGCCCACCCGAACGGGCAACGTGATTTTTCCCAACGGCTACTCGGGATTTGCGTTGAAGCCGAATAACGGATGAGGAGCCAGAGACAGTTCTGATTCGTTGAAACTGAGTTTGATGAAGGTCTCGTAATACATAACCTCTGAAGTGCTCCCTTGGTCTATGAGGATGCGTTCAATGGTAAATCGGTTCACGTGTAGTACAATGACCAATGGATCAATATGGGGAAGTGTTATGCCGATAAGGTCAGAATCGTCGAAGATAATACTCTGAGCTTCGTGGGGCTGTTTCGTTTGTGTGCGTTGCTTCTGGGAGGCTGACTGAATTGCATGTATTGTACGTGGCGTTGGAAGGCTGTATATCATATGAATAACGCCAAGGGGAGGTGACTTCTGCCGAAGGGCAATAGTTTTGATTGTGCTCTTCCGGACATGCTGCTGGAGCTGGCCATCTTGCACCAATTCCTTAAGGTGATCTTTCAGGGCATAGCAACTGTCCGTATCATGACCGTGATCTTTGTGATATTCACAACGCCTGCCCCGCCTTCTCGTGTCAGAAGGTCCCACCATCTTGGACGGCCATTTGAAAAATGGAAGATGTTGGATTTTGGACATAATCGAGCTGATTGGCTCTGACAGCTCCGTATATTTCTTGTCGGCGCGCTTTGTGCGCCTGCTATCGACCTGTAGTTGCTCATTTGCTTGGTGTGAGCATTGATCGCTGGATCGGCGAGAATCCCGTCTCTTGTCTCGTTTAGCCTGCTGTCGTGGTTCTGGGCTCTGTGGTGGTACGGAGCTTATTGGCTGAGCGATTTTGGGAGGGGTCATTTTGTTGGCCACATTTTCGGCTTTAACCCGTAAGGCATCATCATCCACTTTGCAGTATTCTTCTACTTTCTTCATCAACCCCCAGACTATTTTTGGGGGTCTTCTAGTCAAGGAACTGAGAAGGGCAGTATCTGGATGTAATCCCATTTTGAAGGCGGTGATGGCCATGGAGTCGTTGCAAGCGTTATCAACAAGATTAAAGCATTCCCAATATCACGCCGAATATGCTCTTAGTGTTTCTCCTGTCAGGATATGCATTGCCCAGAGAGAGTCGGCTTACTTCGGCTGGACCTTGTTGGTGATGAATCTGGCCCTGAAGGATTTCTGTAGTTAGTGGAAGGTTTTGATCGAAGCCGGCTCCAGTTTATAATACCACCTAACCGCCAATGGTCCCAAACTGCTGGGAAATATTCGGCACATGAGGGCCTCGTCGTCTGTATGCAATATGGCCTGCTTGTAGTGGCGGATGTGGTCGGTGGGGTTTGATTTGCCGTCGTACATGGTGAACGACGGTGCTTTGAATTTCTTGGATAGCACAGCCTTTGCAATTCGTCGTACGAAGGGATTATGTTGATCTTTGTCCGAGCTAGTCCTTCTTCACTTGTGCATTGTACGGGGACTTTCTTCGGAAGAACTGGTGGTATCATGTCATCCCTTCTTCTTGGGCTTCGGGGATAACGAGTCGGAGTCGTTATCGGTGTTGTCTTGTCGGGCTCGAGGTCGTCGACCACCTGCTTTCGGAGATCGTTCCGGATTGAGGCGTACAACTTGTTTGGACTTCGCCACTTCCAAGGCCAAATCTTCACGGAGACGTTCATTCTCAGTGATCATGTTCTCCAACCTCTGTTCATTTTGCTTTGCTTGTTCCATGATCGCCTGCATTGTCTCATGTTCCGAAGTCGAGGGTGAGGTGAAGTTCAAGGCACGTCTCGCAGCAATAGTCTCCAGTCTAAGCATGTTTGTTGGAGTGAGGTCGTCTCTTTGAGTGGTTTCATCAGTAACTATTGGAGGATCTTCTGTTACGCCTGCCATGGATATATTTGCGTATTCCCATAGATGGTGCCAATTGTGGAGATGTGGTTTGGAAATACTCTTCAGATCCTGGAGAGCACTCGTGATCCTCTTCTGGTCACCTGAAAAGGAATAAACACTCCGGTCGGGGGTGCCGAAATTAGCACTCCGACGGACAAGTCAGAATCCACACTCAAGAATGCTTGTATTCTAAGTTAAGCACAACAATTCTCACATACCTTTCTTAGTCTATTGTTTCTTTATTTATACTTGTTTCCTAGGCCTCGTGGCCAGGCCCACTTGTCACTCATTAGCCTCTTATTTACTTGGCTCCATAGCTTAGTATCTATTCGGCCTATCCATTATATTTGACATCTTTTTATCGTGCAGGGTAAAGCCGTGTAATATTTGTCTTCTAGAATACGCTTCTGATTATTCCAATTATCCGGCTCCCACAATTACATATCATATTTTGTGACAAATCAAAGAATGAACCAAGTTCATCAATCAAAGGCTTTCAAAGCTTCAAGAGATGTTTACTAACATTTACATAATATAAATGATGACATTCATTGACAAAATAAAGGAATAACCAACCCCTGAATTGATTAGACAAGCCCACTTGTCGGTGGAAAATGAGATATCTCAAACAAATGTACTAGTTGTACTAAAGTCCCCTAGCACAAAAGAACCTTTTAAGAATGTCATCAAAACAAACATAATACTTGATACAAAAACTAAGGGATTGTAATAACCGTGTCCTGAACTATGTTCATTAATCATGATTATGTTTGTAATTATGTGCTTAATTTGAATTTGGGTGTTAATTGCATGATTATATGTGATTTTGGCTTTGTATCTGTTCCCTGTAGGAAAATCTGTTAGAATCTGTGCTTTGAACTAAAAATTGAAGGCCTTATCAGCCACAGAAACTGAAATTGACTACGCCATTGTGATTGGCGTAATTTTTAGAGCCTATGGTAAAATTTAATTGAAAACTGATTCGGAACGAATTAATTTGTTTAAATCGAATTAATTAAGCACCATTGATTAGTTCTAATTAAGTGTGATTAAGGGAAGCCTATATAAATGAGCCATACTGCTTAAGCTCATATTTTTTGGAGCCCAAATCAGATCCTACACTCTAGAGAGAGAGGGTGAACCGAATTTAGAGAGAGAAAGGGACCATTCTTGAAGATATTGCAAGAGAATTCAAGAAACTAAGAGGATTAGCTCAAGATTTGGCTATGATTGGAAGAATTGAAGCTCCTAGGTGAGTAATCAACCCTTAATTCATGAGTTTGAGTTTGTAACTATATGAATTCAAAGAGAATATGTGACCAAGAGCAAGAATTGAGTGGTAATTGATGAATTTGAAGTCAATGAATGCATGGATGTGTAGAATTGCAATGAATTTGCATAAGCTAGCATGTAACATGTTAATTATGAAAGATTGGGCATTGAATCATACATGCAAGCATAGTTTTGTTGCGTTTCATGGTTATAAGCACCATTTGTACCATTTGAAATAGGAATGGAGTCAAGAATTGACATGCATGCATGATTGATGAATATATGATGTTTGAATGCATGAATTTAATGTATTGGAAGTAAGTTTGGTATAATTTGGGTTTGCATGTGATTGATTCATAAGATTTGAGCTTCATAATGTAGTAAATTGGTGTTTGTAGCACGTTAGTAGTTGTATATAAGAGTTATGGGTTATAAAATGCAAGCTATGTTAATTTGAATGCAAGTTTGAAGCTCAAACTGGTTGCTGGAAATTTCAGAATGTGGCATGTTCGCTCGAGCGGGGAGAGCGCCGCTCGAGCGTGAAATGCTAGTTCCCAGAACTTTTGCAGTTTGAGCTTCATAATGTAGTAAATTGGTGTTTGTAGCATGTTAGTAGTTGTATATGAGAGTTATGGGCTATAAAATGCAAGCTATGTTAATTTGAATGCAAGTTTGAAGCTCAAACTGGTTGCTGGAAATTTCAGAATTTGGCATGTTCGCTCGAGCGGGGAGAGCGCCGCTGGAGCGTGAAATGCTAGTTCCCAGAACTTTTGCAGACATGGACGTCCGCTCGAGTGGGGAGATTCACGCTCGAGCAGGGAGCCATGTAGTTTGACTCTCAGCTTGAGCGTCCGAAGTCACGCTCGAGCGTAAAAATGAAGTAACCAGTACTTTTGCAGACCAAAGGGGTCCGCTCGAGCTGCGCTCGAGCGGGGATCCCTGTTTCAGATATTTTGAAAAGTGATTTTATGATTTGTTATCCGTTCTCTTTCATTTCTAAGCACTCTTAGGCATGCATTGAGCATTGTGAATAAGTTAAAATGATAAGAAAGGAGCCTAAGATGAATGTATAAATTAAGAACAAATTGAATCGTTTGTGACCCATATGTGTTATGTAATGTGTAGGGTCGAGCTCAACGGCAAATCCACCGGCAGAACACTGTGAGTAATATCTTAGTAAAGATATTTTCAAGTATGTTACTTTCCGAATGCTACTTTTGTATAAGCTTCATGGATTTGTTGATTTTAAATATGAATGAGTATTCTATATGCCTAATTTTGTATAAGGCCGTTTGATACGTTTGATATATCAGAATTGGGCCTAAGGCTGTTTGCCGTTTTCCATTTACCGTTGATATGTTTGATATATTTGAATTGGGCCTAAGGCCGTTTGTCGTTGATATGCTTGATATATCTGAATTGGGCCTAAGGCCGTTTGACATGAACAATTGGGCCAAAGGCCGTTGGACATGAATGATTGTGCCAAAGGCCGTCGGATATGAACGATTGGGCCAAAGACTGTTAGACATGAATGCAAAGATGGGCCAAAGGCCGTTTGAATATGTCATTCGATATGTTTGAATACCGTGATGGGCCAAAGGCCGTTTGAATGAAAGGGATCATGATCATGAATATGAAATACGCATGGATATGAATATAAAGAGAATGGGCCCGAGGCTGTTTGATACGCTTGATATATTCGGATTGGGCTCGAGGCTGTTTGATATGTTTGAATTGGACCAAAGGTCGTTTTGAATAAAGAGTTGGCTGGACCAAAGGTTGTTTTGTATAGATGGACCCGAGGTTGTATTGTTTTATATAAGAATTGGACCCGAGGTCGTTTTGCATGTGGATATGATGTGTTGGACCCAAGGTCATTTTGCTTTGTTGAGATTTGTAAATCTGGTGTGAATGAGAATAGTGGTTCAAATATATACATTATAAGTATGATTCATTTATGAACGAATCTCATTCATTAACCTCTTTATTTTGATATTATTCACTGGGCGTTAGCTCACTTTTATTTATATGTATGTAGGTGAGCAAAGGGACGTTCAACCCCAGCGTTAGTGGAATTTAAGAAAGGAACCCGAGTTTTGTGAAGTCAGCCCTGGTGCCTCACGCAAGAGGCTTTCTTTATGATCTTTTGTGTTTCTTTTGTCACTTCTATTGGCCATGATAGACCATTTATGTGTATAAGCTTTTGGCATGGTTGACTGTGTGTTTGAATGATCCTGGGTATACAAGATGTTAACTACTGATACGTGGTGTGAGTTATTATTAAGTATATGTGAAATGTTTTGACATGCCATGTAAGCATAGCTCATTGGACAAAATTTTTAAGTTTGCTTCCATCTTGGCCCCTTCACTCTGTCGCTATATGTTTGTTTTGGTTTGAGGCCGTAGGTAATCTCATGATTACTGGCCGTTTATGACCT